GTGAGTGTGCAGTTCCTTTACTCGCTATGGGGCACCCCTACGCAGACGGTGCAAAGCCTCAGCGTTACACTGGTGTTAACAAACAGAATCTGTTTGACGGGACTTGTAACGGGTAGTATTTTAACTGTCTTAGAAATGTAACTGCTGGTAGCTGAACCTCAACATAACTGTTCCTAAAGCACCTAGAAGCGCTGGTGCCTGTCCAGGTCTTAAAGGGCATCCATATCGCTCGAGACGAAGCTCTCCCACAAGTTGCCTGGTGATTCCTGTTTTCTCTTCATCCAGAAATAAATTAACAATGGTATTTCCTACTCCGCTCCTTCCAGAAAAAAGGAAATTAAAAAGTATTCAGTGAAAAAAATATTTTTCAGACTGTCTATCCAAATGTCTCAAATTTCCCTAAGGGTTTTGTTGACGCTTTAGGCTCTGGTTCAAGTAGCTGTTGTTGGATCCAGATAACTTTATCCACCCTATTCATAATTTGTCTCTCAAAATTCCTTCGTGCTTGAATCTTAGGATATAAATTCACAAGCTTGGGAATGATTTATGTGTGCCAAATCTTGTAAATACATTTGATTTTAATTTACAATAGCATAAGAAAAAATCAGATCTTTGTGGTTTCTGGTGTTTTTAATATGAAAATTCTTATTTTGGAATGAAACCTTCCTGGATTTTTATCTAAAATGTGTATTCCTTTTTTTTTTTTTGGTGTTTAAGAATGAATTTAAATAAGATGCTGGTGAGGGGGGAGGTAGATATAATAATTTAGAATTCTTTTGGATGAGGATTCTAAGTAATACATTTGATCTGATGAATCAATCTCTCTTTTGAAAACAAATAGCCTTTAACTGTTTACTTGACAGACTGCAGGGATTCTGGGAGAGCCCTTATTGCTTGTTGGGTAGATAATACAGATTGCAGATGATGTGCAGATGATGTGCATTTTGATGAATATTTTCCCACTAGACTGCAACTGTTTCTATCTATTAATTTTGATCTAATGGGAAAAGTCTGTTCCTGGGTAGTTTTAAGCTAGGACTTCTTAAACAGTGAATGCACTGAAGCTAGGTTTTTCTACCAGTTCAAGTTCTATCACTGAAATGAACTTTGAAGTGAAAGAACCGGTGGCCGTGGAGGAGATTCCACCCTTCCATCTATCCCCAAAGAGGTGAAAACCCCAGCAATAGCAATGCTAACATTTTATCTCCGTTCTGACTCCGATCACTTAGCTTCAAAAGGGAGGGAATGTTTCAATTTCTCCGTCTTTCTGATTTCACTGTTTCCAAGCTACCAGATGTGGCTGGAGTGGTGCTAATAGCATTAGCTTGGGAGTGGACCTTCCTGCAGGGGCGGCTGCAGCGCGGGCTGCGCGCGTCGCATGCGGCGCATGCAGGGCTGCAGGGAACGCCGCAGGAAGCCTGGCCCTTCTCTAGGATAAATGTGCAGCAAAATAAAATGTGAATGAATTAAAAACCTTGGCGTAAGTGGCAGATTTGTTAGCTGTTGTAAACTGGTAGAGTTCCACTGCATACGAGGAAGTGCTTTAGATTTGAACCAGATGACGAGCTGGCTCTGCATGTGCAGGCCTGGAATTTGGACGTGCTTTATGCTACTGCCTTTCACTGGTTCCTTAAGTACAAATTTTGTGAGTTTGAACCTCTTTCTAACATGTAAATGCAAAAATGTAGGAAACTGTGCGGAAAAGGTGTTTTTCCAGTTCTGGGGTCACCTTCTCCATTTTTTTTCCACTAAATAAGGATGTTCCAGTGAATGATGAGGGTATCAGCAACTTCTGGAGAAATTAAGTTGCAGTAAGGCTAACTTGTTAACATTTAGAACAGCCTGTGAGAGGTTCAGAAACTAAACCCCAGCAAAAAGCCAGCAGAAGATGAAAGTCAGAGCCTGCCCGCCTGAGAAACCGCTGCCTGCTTTGCTTTATCCCAAGTGGACAGGGAAAGTGAGATATTCCTTGGGAATCCCGGCCGCCGCGGAGGACGGAGACAAGCCTGGGCGTGCTTCCCACAAGGAAAACGCTGCCGCCCCGCGCGAGGGAGGGCCCGGATCCCCGGGGCAGCTGTTTCCCATCAGGGTCCCCCCACGCTCGGGCCCTGGCGTTTAACCCGCGCGGCGGGAAGGGGCCCGCGCGTAACGAGCGGGGTGGCACGCGGGGACGTCCGGGCCCTTCCAAAGAGACCCCATTAGTGTCGCGCCGAAGGGCTCCGGAGCTGCCTCTCAGCAGGCAGAGCCAAGGCCTTTCCCCATCTATCCAGGCCTTTTTGCCCGCTGCTTTCAACTATTATAAAGATACAATTACCTTGGGAGGCTGTGGCAGTTCAGTTGATTAGCACGGTGAATTAAAAGAATGAGTCACAAATGACATGTCCAGCTCTTCTCTACTAGTCCTTTGTATTCCCAGTGTAGCTCACCCCTGTTGTAAGAAGGTCAAAAATTAGAGAGAGATAACAATTTTCAAGCAGCTAGCACTTAGGAGCAGAATTAACAATCATTCTGTATGTAATTGCCAGTTAATAGTAAATTGCCTTCTAGACTGTAAAATGCAATATAAACTGGTGGGCACCTAAAATTAAATTAATGAGGTATTTGCTGCATTTAAAAGTGAATAGTGCAAATTAATATCTGAGTATAATACTTGTTTTAATATTTATCTAATGCTGTGCCGTTTGCTTGTATGATGATAATTCTAAAAGTTCTACCTGAAAAAATCCCTATTTGGTTAAATCGAGCAGTTTGTACAGATTGTAACCATAATTTTGCTGGTAAAGTCTTCCAGGTTTCTAAATTAAATATCAGAGATTATTTTTTAATTAGAGCATGAGCACTGCAGTGTTATTTGATTAAGGCAAATTGTGATTTGTATGCTTCTAAATGAAATTATGTTACAGATAAAATTGCACTTTTATACACATATTTTAAGCCATGAGCCCTGTGGACTCTGTGGGTTTGCTTTAAGGCCGGTGGTAGTCCTGTATTTACAGTGTATTTCTGCCTCTGCGTTGCCGTTTCCTCTAAGCGTGTGCTCTGCAAAATGCTTTCCTAGCGAGGAACTCCAAGTTAGGAAATATTGAAATAATTTCAAAGAACGTTATTCAGCCTAACACGGCTGCGTCTCATTCAGAACTGTGAATGTTGACTACCTTTACCCTAGTGTTTTTGCGGTACGCCCACATTTTGGTAACTTCTTTTGCTGGGTTAAAGTCCAGAGAGGTTCAGGAGACACCGTGTCGTTGCAGTAGACGGCAGCCAGTTGCCCTGCTCAGCTGCAAACGTGTCCAACACAGACATCGCAAAAGCTTCAATGTTGAATACTGGAACCATTCCCAGGTCTGCAATGCATTTACTAGATGTGAACGAAAAGCGATTATTTTGCACAAAGACTTGCATTCAATTTTAGCCTTATGAAACCATTACTCATGCAGCGATCGCTCGGAGTTGGTGCTTCCTGATAGAGCATTTGCGTTGGGAAAGTCAGATTGCGATGCAAGGCTGGCACAATATCAAGGGGGGGAAGCCCCATTTAGTCACCGCATTGTCCAGATTTTTCAGTTTGGCTTGTTTTTATCTCCATATCAAGACCTCTCCTTTGGCTGCTTTCCCTCATTTAACCCCCACTCCACTTCACCCTCTGAAAGATCTCATGTTCTGAAGTATTTTAGAGACCTTTTGTGTGCATTCAAATGTGGCTCTGTCAATGGCGCTGTTACACTGTGGAGAGTCAATAGCTCCCTTCCATCACAGCCAACACAAACTAGCTGTCTCATAGGTCAGTGCTCTTTAAACAAATTACTTGTATCCACAGAGCAAATGATTGTTAATTGCCTCCCACAAATCATACTATTTTTACTATGCTAAACTAAATGCTAATGCCTTGGTTAAATTTAAACCACCTGATTATTTCTTGTATATATGCAATTATTATTCTTAAGTATGAAATCGGGTGATTTTGCAAAATGAATACTAAAATTTATATAACAGATAGCGTGCTTTATTGGTAGTCCTTTAAAAAGAAACTTGCTGTTGACGTTTATTTTAATGAAATCCTCAGCATTTCTAATTCCTATATATTGCGTCTGCTTTCTTTAGGTGCTGCTGTCCTGAAGCAACTTACAGTCACTGTTATTACAGTATTGGTTATTTATTGATCAGACCTTGTGTCAGCACTGGTTGTTAGCAAGCTCAAAAAAATCAACATAGAACAGATGTTCCTAGCCTTTCTTCAAGATGTTTCTTCCTAAGTCAGTCAAAGTTAATACTAAAAAGCTAAAATAAAAAACTCTCCCTGTTAATATGCTAAAAAGCTAGAATAAAACACACTTTTCTCAAAACAAAAAGCTAGAATAGAACACATTTTACTCAAAACAGCCTAACATCATAGGGAAAAAGATTCTGGTTAACTGTCTTTTCTTATAAAGAAGGGGTTTCAGCATGACACACATTTTTAATTAATAGGGCAATGCTAAACATACAAAAATGATTTAGTAACATCAAGTCAAAAGCATATTGGATAATGTATATTATATAATAGCTCTTTTTTAAACAGTGGCAATTCCAGGTTTATCAGGGTCATTGTTGTCCCCTTTCTTTTCTGTCTCAAAGGAGGCCAGAAGAATGAGACATACCATTTGTGCTATTGCACAAGTAGACTATTTGTCCTAATCAGTGACACCCATTTACTAGAATTGCTTAAAATGAACTATACCTCATACAGAAATCGCACATTTAGAGTGTTCCATTCATCATCTGAAAATTGAGGGCCAGTAAACTTTTCTGTTCCTCCAGCGGGATCATAGACATGCATCAAAATGTTAAAAAATGATTGGTGAGAGAGAACTGTCACCCATTTATCAAGGAAAAGGAACATTATTTGCTAATTTCCCAACCAAGGCAGTGACAGGGTGCTTCGTCTTTAGACCCATGGTGACCAACATGGCCTTTTTGTTATTAGTACAAGTCAAGCGCTTTTTGGCTGTTGCTAACAAGAC